CACTAATGCTCGAAGAGCCTTGTTTCAGCGTTTGGGGTTTGGTGTCGCAAGAAGGAGCCATTTGCGGAAGTAGAGCCCGCTCGAATGCATGGGCATCATGGTCCAGCATGGATGCTTGTTGCATTCTTGCCCCCTTTTAAGAGAAACCTGTAGAAGACCGTTCTCGGCACCCTGCAGTTTGGGGCTAGCCAATCCCTGCATATTCTTGGGGTCCCTAGGGCCCTAGGGGCCCCTTTTTGAGAATTTCTCATATATCTCAACCATCCATACGGAATCCCGAAAAGGGGGACTCCTGAAATGCTTCTGCCATTCCCAGATTTTCCTGGAGTCCCGGAGAATGGATCCCATTCGGTATATAGGGGTTATATAGCCATAATGGAAAAGGACATGGAAACTACTACAGTATGTTAAGGTTATATAGGGATAGTGGAAAAGAAAATGGAAGCTAATATATTATAATAGAGGATACATGTACCAGACCGCCCGCCTAAAAACCTCAAACTGCACCAACTCCTAAACCCTCACTTTCCCAAGGCCCTACACCCTAAAGACCACAACCAAAGCCCCCAACCCAGGCCATGACAATTGGGGAACTTGGTGCCAGACAAAGGCCTATGGTTCCTGCCCAGTGCAGCCTGCCTTAGAAGAAACCCCAAAAGGGGTTTAGGGATTTAGGGTTTAGGCCCTAAACCCTGAAAGGGGTATAGGGCTTAGGGATTCAGGGTTTAGGCCCTAAACCCTAAACCCTGAGCCCTAAGCCTCAGGGCTTAGGGTTTTGGGGTGGGAGGTTGAGGGTCTGGGGTTAAAAGCTTAGGATGGGTCTTCTTCCCAAGGTTGCTCAATTGTTTCAGGGTGGTATCTCGGCATATGAGCCTAAATCTAAACTCCTTAAAGGGGGCTATACAGGGGATTATATACGGGACTACGAAAGGGGTTGTTCAGGGGGATACTAGAAGTTTAGACCATAGCTCATATGAAAACGCTAGCCTACTTGGCATGTCTTGCGGGGATTGTCATGAATAAGACCTTCTTCTTGGGACTTGGTTTAGGGTTTTAGGGCAGTCGGCTGTCGCTTCCCACACCAATTGCGGCATATATCCCTAGGTCGCAAAGAAAGCATCACTTGTTTTAGGTGTGAGATTTGCGTGCATGCGGTCTTTGCCAACGGCATCCTTCTTACGGGGGCGACAATGGGGCGCGAACAGCACGCCACATTTTTTCGTTCCCCGTGCCGTGCAGCAACATCCATATGCGTACTATGCGTACCCAGCCCGCTCTCGAGCAGCCGTGCAGAGCAGTGGCGGAGATCCATGGCTGCAATCGTGGCTTTCTGCCACGTCAGGATCCCGCTTCGGCTGACTGACACCGCCATTGGCTGTTTAGTGTTACGGCACGCCACAACATGAGCACCACTCCCATTGACGGGATTTGGACGGCTGAGCAATGTCAAACCTTTTATAATGAGCAAGAACTCCAGTCCTGCATGGACCATACCATTGCGCATTATTGTCTTGACTTTTGGGTCCCCGACTCCAAGCCGGAATTCCGCTTTAGTAAGACTCCCAAGGTTTGCTCCGATGCTTGCCCCACTCAGGTTTCTTGGCTTGACTGTGCCTCTCCTAGTGGAGACTGGCTTAAAGCCCTTGAGAATTTGGAGTTTGCTTGGGCACTCTGGAGTAGCGACGTTCAAAAGTGGCTTTCGGAGACAGGCGTGCTGTCCAACGAGGCTTTCGAAAGACCCCTGGGGTCGCTCCCTACCTTGAGATCTGGGAGTCACAAAGTTTCCTTTAAGCAAAGTATTGCAGAGCGGCAGCTCCGACGCCTCACTAGGAGGCTCCGCGAAGCTCAAAGACTGCAGCACTTAGGACGGCCCATCCCGGCCACTTTGGCTAAGGCTATGCTCAGATCCCCTACGTGTGACGGGCCAAGTGACCGTAACGACATACGGCAAGCTCACTATGGCGCCGCGGTCCATAGTGCGCAACAGCGCCTGCAGACCCTGCTTGCTGAGGCACAGCGCAGGCGTGCTCGTAATTATGCACAAGCTTGAAGGGGCTTGTAGGTGGTTGCGTAAAGAAGAGGCCATCCCCACGGTCCTCCAAAATGAAGAGGGAACAGTGCTCTGCCAGCCGGCTGAGGCTGCTAAGGCTCTTTTCTCGTTTTGGGCCAATACGTTTGGTTGCAACACTCCGACTACCCCCGAGGCTCCTTTTTGGAATCACTATTATGGTCAGTTTGTTCAGGCTCCCTCTGTCTCCTTTCCTTTTCTCGCTCCTCTCACGGGTGATTATTTGAGAAAAGTGGCTAGGAAAAACTTCAACAAGGCTGCGGGCCCTGATGGCATTTTTCCAGGTATGTGCTCTCCTTCCTGACGAGGCTCTATCTTGCCTGGCAGCCTTTCTGAATCAATGCGAAAGTCAGGGTAAGTTGACCAGCCAAATGAAGCAGTGGAGAGTGACTTTTCTGCCTAAGAAACGCGAGACGGCGATTGCGGTCTTAGGCGATGTCCAACCTGTCGCCATTCAATGTTCCATCTATAGGATGTGGGCGTCACTAAGGTTGCACACCCTCGGTCCCGCCCTCAACTCTAGCTTGTGCACGCACCAGTGCGGTGGAGTCGTAGGCCCCGACGCCTCCACCTTGGTGACTAGTTTTCAGTTAGAGTTTCCTGAAGAAGCTGGGCCTACTGTGCCTTTCTGGACTATGCTCAGGCTTTTGACTCCACGGATGTCTCTCTTTGTCTTAGTTTGCTTTCTCGTATTGGCACACCGCCCCAGGTGGTCAACTTGTTGAGGGACCAGTGGTGCACTCACGCCCTCTTTGGTTCACTTTCGCAGGGGCCGTTCACGAGTCCCCTCTGCTGGGTTGCAAGGGCCTTCCTCAGGGTGACCCCTTTGCTCCCGTTTGCACGAATCTTCTGCTTTCTTTGCCTGCTAGGCGTGCCAGCTCGGTGGCCCCTAACTCCCGTTCACTTCTCTATCTTGATGACAGGTCTTTGCTTGCTCGCAGCGCTCCCCAGCTTCAGTTGGCTCTTGGGGCTTGGGACACTTTCGAACAGTGTACCCATCTCAAGACCCACCAGAGAAAATCACAGTTCGTTGGGAGGACGCCGGAGGCCGTAGCCTCTCTGCAAGAACTTGGTTTTGCTGCTAAAGCTACTGGTAGCATGCTCGGAGTGACAGTGGGCGCTCACGAGGGCGAGCCCTCTGAGGAAGAGACCCTTCGGCTTACTAAGGCCAAGAATGTGGCTGACAGACTGGCTCTGCTGCGTCTGTCTTTAGCTTTACAAGCCTTGCCGCTACGGTGGTGGCACCTAAAAATATTTGGGGAACCATTATTTGCGGTCGGCATTTCCTGCGTTCTGAGTCCAATAGCTTTCGTAATGCTTGTCGCCGTGCACTGAAAGGCAGCGATGCTAGTTTCGACCGTTCGAGCGGAGCACTCCAACAGGTTTTGCTTCTTGGACACAAGTCCGAAATTAATCTGCTAGGGGCTCAGCATGCACTGACCCCCTTGGCGAGGTGGGCCAAGCAAGTGACTTACCGGGGCTTGGACCCCACGGCTTTCGACTTAGGTGTTATTGGCAGGGCTCTTAGTTTCGCCATTTCATGCTGGGGATGGCTGCCTCGCCCTCGGCGTTGGGGTTGCTGGGGGTTTGGCAGGCACTGCTATGACATCTTGGCTCCCAGTAATGCCCGCAATGCTGCGGCACATGATTTGCGGGTAACTTGGAGAGTTGCTCGCATTGAGGAGTGGCTTAGGTCGAACACTAGGAGGGATTCTGCTGTTGCCAGAACCGCTAATGTTCGCGCCACTCCTGCTCTTGCAGAAAGGCTTTGCAAGCTTGCCAAAGCTGTCTCAGGAGACGCAGTTGCCACCATGTGTGGTGGCATGAGCACTGACGCTAGACGGGCTCCTACGGGAGCAGTTAGGCATGTTTGCCACGACTGCGGTACGCCCTGCGTGCCGTCTACCGAGCATGTGCTTCTTTGGGAATGTCCCCATCCCGCCCTCGTGGCGCTAAGGACTCACACCAAGCCCCGCTCGGCTCTGAGGTCTCGTTTGGGCTGGTCGCCGAACGCCGTGCCGTTCAACCAAGAGGTCGCTCATCACGATGCTGGGCAGCCTAAGAAAAACCCAGGTGTCTCTTCGTTGTCATCGTGCTTCCTGGCAAGGGTGGCGTGGTTGGAGTGGTGGGCATGATCTGCCTCCTGAACTCCCCGTACGGCACTGTTGCTGAGGATGGCGTCCTCTTCTGGACGAAGCCCCGTGGTAAGGTACGTCTTCGCCATTTACTTTTAGGTGAGATCGTGTATGCGAACCGGGTACTTAAGGGAGGAGACTTTCTGCCTGGGAAGAAATATTTTCTGGATGACTGGAACGTTAGTTAAGGAATTTTAAAACACGAACTTGATCACCATGCATTGTCTAAAACGTTTAGTTTACTGAATGCCTATACTGGGTCGTGGTTAAGGAACTTAACAACGAATATATATATATATTGTAGTTACTACGGTTTCCCCCATATAGTAACTTGAATTAAGTTCCGAAACAGCAACCCAGTATGTTGTTCGCCTCGGACTGTTGCCTGTTGCCTGGCGCCGTGCCTGCCCCGTTGCAAGTTCATGATCCCCCCAAGAAAAAAGGAGTTACCCAGACAACATGGGAAATAGGAGAATTGCTGACCTAATAGGGTCTCCCCAACATAGTCACTGAATTCAAGTTCCTTAACAACAACCCACCAATGTGAGTCAAGAAGACGCTGATGAGGGTTGTACATGTTGAGCCAATTGCGCAAATTCTAAGCGATCCGTGTGCAGCCAGAGTCGCAGCCATGGGAACTACGGATGGCAGTCGTCTGCATATTTGCATTCGATATTCCATGGTAATCCTATAACCCGAGTATGACATGCATTGTACAAATTATAACTAGGACCCCTGTCAGGTATTGTGGGAGCTAAATATGATGAATACTGATTTACTGACAGCTCGTGATCGAGGTATTGCGCAGCTCACGAGTTCCTTGGCTCGCTTCATTTCAAGGTTTTGGAGCAGGGTCGTAGGGCCAGTAGGGCATGGGAAGTTACATGGGCCATAGTTAAACTCCTTATCAAGGGAGGGTTATACAGGGGATTTTATAGGGAGTAGTATAGGCTTGTTAAGGGGGATACAAGGAGTGTAGACTATAGTTCGCATGGAAAATACTCTTACAGGATTGAGAGGGTTTAGGGTAAAGGATGAAATTGAATGGAAAAGCCAATGGAAAGTGAACGGAAATCTGGGGGGAGTTGGGATCTTTTCGGGTTTATTCAACATTCCGTCAGGCAGCAGTATAGACAACAGGCATTCGCTAAACCCTAACCCTAGGCATAGCAGAATCGGTATGAAAAGAAGGTACGGCTCATAGGTCATCTTGAGCTTGGTTCCTCTGAACCCGGAAAGTTCCAGTAGGTAGCTTTACTGCGTTGCTGGTGAGGAGCGTACTTTTAGTTACCATAATAAGGAAACCCTATTATGTAAAATATACCCATCTGATGGTAACTTCAACCCAGTTCCTGAACAGCAAGCCAGTTTATGGACGGCTGGACTCGTTTCAGCTTCCGGCATGCCGATGAGCCAGCTGTTATCTCAAGATTGCCAGTTTAGGGTTCAGGGTTTAAGGTTTAGGCTCCATGCAAAGCTCAAGACTGCCTAGGATGTCGTGCTGGGTCGCGCCCTATTTTGTGCCTTGGCAAGATGGCTTTTTTAATTGGGCTCTGCTTCGCAGTTGTGGCTGGAGCCCAACAGTATGAAGGTGGCATGGCAGGCACTACCAATAGCTGGTAACATATACCCCTGACATGACGAGTCTAACGCTCTGTAACATGGTCAGCGTGCAAGTTCACCAGGCCTTCAACGACTGAAATGTCTGAACTCTTCTGTCAAACTCACGCCAGCTCTTGAACTCAAGCTTTTGCCTCGACAAGCCTTCCGAGCCCGAAGCTCGCTAGCCTGTGGATGCAATTTCATTTTTCTGCCCCGCAATTCTGAGAACTCCTCATATGTTTCCTCTCCTTATGCTGTCCTATGTGGCCTGGCAGCATGCGCCGCAGCAGCACGAGGAGCTGGTGGTGGTGGTGTTGGTGGTGGTGGTGGCAGTGGCGGCGCTGGTGCTGATGCAAGTGCTGGTGCAGGAGTAAGCAGCAGCCGCAATTCAGGGCTTCAACGCCAAACCCTTCATCCCAAGTCTTGGACTTTGATTTCTGCATCCGAAGCCAAGCCTTAGATCGGGACTCCTGGATGACTGGGAGCCCTGTGCTCCATGCAGGCCAACGGCTCCATCAACTACTATGCCAGCTGGACAGAAACCTGCGCCAACACCACGGATGGTTTCTTGGCAGCGCCTGCGCCCTCTTACTTCTTGGCCATGGGTTTAGGGTTTCGATTTTACGCTTGTCCTGCCATACTTGCGTTCGCACTTCTAGACAGGGCAACGGCATGCTTGTTGTTATCTTCCTAGTGAACGACGTATCAAATCTTCATCCTGAAACAAGGACCTCTTCCCCTGAATATCAAGCGCCCCCCATGCCCTAATAGTCACTAATTCCAATATATTTGGGAACATATCTGGCGTCAGGGCGTGTAGGGGGGAATGTTTAATCATCAGTAGGTAGAATGTCCTGGGTACTGAAAGATTTGGGCTTGAATGTTGGCCCATGGCCCCATTGGCATGTGTAGAAGTGCAAATGAGCTCCCTTCAATCCTTTGAAAATCCCACTTCAGTTGGCCACCATGATAAAATGAAATCCTCCAGACGGCCACCTGCGCTCGGGGATGCTTCAAGCCATTCTGTGTTTATATGGGGGTTTCCCAAAATTAGGGGTACCATTTTGGGGGTCCCTACCTATAACAAGGATTATAGTGTATTGGGGTCTATATTTGGGACCCCTAATTTGGGGAAATTACCATGGAGTATTTGCTCATGAAATGTCTTAAGCGGCAGAGTCGAAAAGTGTGGCTGGCACATACACTTCCTTTGGGCAGACAGATGAAGGATGGTGCAGCATGGTGCATGTTTTCTCTCAGTTCTGCTTCCGTCACGCAGACAGCAGGAACAGAACTGAACTTGTGTATGCAAAGATTTTAAACTGTGTCGACTTGTTCAGTTATGGTGCAGAGTACCATGCCAAAAACACTGAACACATGGATGGTTTTCCAAATTATGGGCCCCTGTTGGTTATGAATTATTTTGCGGCACCTAATATTTAGGGTACCAGAAAGGGACCCTAAGCCCCATTGGGAACTACCTAATTTTTGGAACGAGCCACATGTGGCAATGTGTTTGGTTGCACGACATAAAGCCATGAGCCAAAGATGCTAAGCTATAGTCCAAAGTCCTGAAAAGGGGGGTTATATAGGGGATTATGTAGGGTTTGGGGTTTAGGGTCTAAACTGCTTGAAGGAGGTATCAAGAGGCGATTACATAGGGGAGTATTATAGTGGTCATTAAGGGGGATACTAGGAGTTTAGACCCTAAGCCCTAATCTCTAAATCCTAAACCCTAAACCCGAAACCTGGATGTATTTCGGCGGATACTAGGAGTTTCGACGATGGCTCAGATGCAGGCAGTAAATTTTCTTGCCGTGTTTTTTGGCAGCGTGGGGTACGCGCTACAGTAATGACCAAGCACAGACTCCTGGGAGATTCTGAGCTTGCCTAGGGTTTAGGGTTTAGGGCTCAGGGCTTAGGGTTTAGGGTTTAGGGCTTAGGGTTCAGGTTTTAGTGCTTAGGGTTTAGGGTTCGGGTCCTGGCGCACAAGTTCATCCGAAAAGGGAACCGTTCTTTACGAACAGGATTGGCAAGGGGAGGGGTGTACTGGCCTGCATACCCAAACTTGCATAAGACTTTGAATAAATATGAGCTATAAAGCATCAACAAGAATAGACTGCAGTCAGTACCATGAGAACAATAACAGCCTTTTAATATAGTGAGGCTGTCCCTGCCACTCGACCTGGGAGAAGCAGTGCACCTCGCAGGGCTACAAGCACCTTTGCATGGTTTCAGAAGATGCATCTGACGGTTACCGAAGAACAGGGGTCCACTTCTGGGAGTCCCTGGATCATGATATTTTTATAGGTCCTGCACCCCAAACTCTATGAGGGGGACCTCTGTTTTTGGAAACCTTCAGGTAGTAGTAGCTCAGAGCTGAGACACTCCCTTCTCTGGGATGCCTTCTACAGAGAAACTTTTGCTTGGGTATACTCTTTCGGTTCAGCCGCGAAGGTCTGCCTTGAAGATAGGTACTCAGAGGACAAGCCGGGGTTTGAGAGAAGGTTTTTCGACTTCAAAGACATCGCTAGCCACCGTGAAAGATTGGGGGTTGTCTTGAGGAAGGTTGAGAAACCTGCTTCCCACAAGCGCACGGTTCCCTCTGAGTACTCATCCTGTTTTCAAGGACTACCATGGGGGGAGCTGAACTTCCTGTAAACAGCCATGCGTGCTCAAGCATGTATTTATTATCACCAGTCTTAAGCCATTCCTCACCTGATATTGAACAACTTGTTCTGTTCGGTTTGCGGAGGAATATGCGGCTTTTGGCGTTTGGGGAAGAGTTTATCATGTCATGCTTGACCTGGCATAATCGGCTCCCTGTCACACACGGAGTGGAATCCGGAAGCTATCATGTTCATCATTCTCTAAAAACACGCCCAAACTTCATTCATCCTCATTTTACAGACCACTAAAAGGGGCCACTGTTGGAAGAACCGGCTTCACAATGCCTACAATTTTCCCGGATGCCCTGAACAAGGCTAAGAGCAAACAATCTCCTGAAAGCCTAGATGATTCGTACATAGCTCCTGTACAAACCCTAGACCCCAAACTCTGAACCCAAGTAGAGAATCCTTGTAGACTTGAGCCCTAAACCCCAGTGCCTTCGAACCGAGTTGGAAAGGTACTGTGTGTCCATCTTCGATGAGTGTGCCTCGACTATGCTATGGCACATGTGGCTTTTAAATTCAGAAGCAGGGGCTCGCAGACAATATTTCTAGGAAGGTTTAGGGTTTAGAGTGTAGTGGGTTAGGTTTAGGGTTTAGGGTAGGGTTAATCAAAGTACTTGGAGAAATGACTAAGCCTGTAATATGCAGACCCAACAGAAACTGGGTAGGGTTTAGGGTTTAGTGTTTAAGGTTACCATAATATGGGCATATAGGAATAATAGAGTTTCCTTGTGTTTCCTTATCGTAATAACTTAACTCAAGTTCCTTAACAGCAGCCCAGGACAGTCTTCGTATTTGTCCCGAAGCAGAGCCTGCCCTAACCTTTCGAACCCGGCTTATGTAGAACATGGTTGCCAAACGGCTTTATTTCAGGCCAGCTTCGAAAATGGTATCCATTCACCCAAGATATCTCCAGGCATAAGACGTTGCAAGCGGTCCTGGAGGGAGTACAGTGGTCCTTTTATAAGCCGAATAATGATCTTTATATCCCATTCCCTATACCGCCAGTCAGATCATATGCCTCAGCGTCCTGAGACCCTCATCTTTGAGATCTTGCAGCTTTCCATGAGTGGGCGCTGCTGCAATTTTGAAGGTTCTTTGATCCCGTGTACCCTGTGTTGAGGCAGGTATACCCTAAACCCTAAACCATGTATGCTGATGTGCAAAGTGGGTTCTTTGTTTTGTAAACTGCAGTTTCGCTGAATTTGGGCACCCTAATATGGACCCCAAAAGATTATCATCCTCATTATGGGGACTTCCGAGAAGGTACTCCTTATTTTGGGAAACACCCATTTTGATGTGCAAGCTGGGCTCTTCATTTTGGAACTTTTGAGGACACCTTGCTGGTGCATGAATTTGAGAAGAGAGAAGGGACGTCTGTTCTTGGCTACCGTGGTTGCGGATTCTACGTGAACTACGTGAAGTACGTGAACCTTTACGTGAACCTTACAATCTTGATTAGACGTTATGATAGTGCTCTAGCTGTAACCGCTGCATAACAAGACTCCGCCTGGTATAGACCTTTCATATTCCCCCGCGACTCGTCGCGGAATTCCCAGTTGCAACGTTTGAATGATAAGGCCCAGTTGACTGTGGATCTAACGGCACCTGCTACCACTACTCCTCGGGTGCCTCGGCTTGGTAGAAGCAGCAGGAGTTGTGCTGCTGCAGAAGACGCATATGATATGACAAGCATTATGCCAGCTGCATACGACTGGTAACAGAAGCTTTAAGTATTGCATGAACGGCAGCAGTGAGCCTGAGACAACTTTCAGTCTCTGCTGCTTTCTCTTCCAGTTCCGGGTTGACTGTGGAAAAGGTTTTCTTGTCGGCGCTGCGCTGAGATGCTTTTTCGGGTGATATATATAGAAAAAGAAGCGCAAATATTGGCACCGATCATGGAAGCCCGAGTATGCCTCGCAAACAGCTCGAGCTGCTGGAGTGGCCTTCCTTTAAAAAAGTTCCTACACACACAGAACATGCTGCGCTTGCCTCAACGCTAATCACTCCTTCTCCTGCCCTTCTCGCAGATGGTGAAGATGTTCAAAAAGATGGCCAGTAGCGGCTAATATCACAGTTGTTGTCGTAGCCGCGCAGGCAATGAGTCGTGCGCCATGGCCTCTGGATGCGTCTGCGAAGCCAACGAGATTGGCTGCTCCAACCCGGACAGATTTATGCAGGGGCTTCAGGTCAGGACTTAGGGGCGAGGCTTGTTCGGCTTCTTAAGCAAAAGTGATAGTTCAACAGTCTCAGGGTCCAAAGTATGTATTGTGGTGCTTTCCATGAGAGCCCAAAAAGGCCACCCCTAAAGTCTCAGTCTGGTAAAGAGCGCTGCAGGAGCACTCCAAGAACACTGCAAGAGCGCTCCAAGCACATTCCAAGAGTGAGTACCGAAGTGCCAGGCTGCGAGAGCCGCGGAACTGTCCACTATAGTTTCAAAAGTTTCCACTACTTTGCAAGGTGGCTTCACCCGCGAGCAACCTCCAAAACCAGGTTTGGACCAGATTTTGAGGATATTCCGCACGAGCCAGGGACCTGGGTACACAAGCTGCACGCGCACACCGACCAAGTTAAGTTATAAGGGGTAATATATTGGGATAATGGAAAATAGAATGGAAACCACTATAGGGTTTAGGGTTTGGGGAAGGAAGTGGTGTTCCTGGCAGTGGTTGTACGGAAATTCATCGCAGCCCGTGCTATCGGGGCGCATGCCAGGGCGCTGAACCCTAACCCACGATCGATGACCTGAGAAGCCAAGGCCCCAATCCTTGCAATCTTGTAAACTCTATTAGCATCAAACCCCTCGACCCTAAACCACAAGCAGGACACCGGTCTCAACGAGTGCTACCCCTCTGCACCTGGGTTCAAGAGGATGATAACGGATTGTACCAAGCTTGTGCAGGGGTGATGCGGGGATTGTGCAGTGACCAGAGGTGTATGACGGGGGTCTCTTGGAGCATTCTCCACGTTATCTAAAGTGCAGTTCCAAACAATATGGTAGTTCCCCAAAATAGGGGACCCCAATATAGATCCCAAAATACTATAATACCCATTATAGGGAACACCAAAAAGGTACCCCTAATTTTGGGAAATCCCCATATTAGCCTCAGCCTTGGACCCACGAGATGACGAACTTGACATTACCCGCACTGCATCGCCTGAAGAAGGGCGACGACAAGTCATTCATTCTGTTTTTCTATGTTGCTAGGTGCATGCTTTGGATCTGAGGGAGCTCTTGGGTTTAGGGTTTGGGGTTTAGAGTTACTGGCCCACTTGCCAAAATTTCACATGGGTGCTTGCAAGAATCAGGGGCGCCCCCTTTTTTCTGGGAGCCCCAACACCCCTATTATGGAAATTGTCTTATTTCCTGGATGTACAGCTTCAGGCTCACACCTGTATCATTATTGCTGTTATTGCGCTCATTGCTAGTACCCTTATAACAAGAACCATCATCATCATCATCATCATCGTCATCATCGTTCTTAGAGGCAATCTGAAGTGGAGAATAAAAAGAAGAGGAACATGGGGAGTGAAGAGAAACAGGCGTTTACAACAGTCGTTCTTCGGACTTCCGCGTTAGAAGATTCATGCCACAGTGGGAATAGAACAGTAGGGGTTGGGGGTTGGGGCGTGGGTGGGGGGTTAACATGGGGGGAGGGGTTACATCCGTCTCGTGCGATAAAGATACTGCATACTGTAGCACATACACTCCCCCAAATTAACATGGAAACCCATATAGCCCCCTTTTAGAAGGACTGTAGTCTTTACAGGGCCTTTTTGGGTTTCCATGTTTGTTTCCGGGAGTGTAACCATAGAGCAAGCGATATTCGAATATAGATATTTTCCTTAGGAGTCCTCATGGGTGTCTCGTAAGCCTCTCTCACAGCCTGGTTTAATCAGTTTAAAGTGACATGCTTGCGCTTCTGTGCAATTATGTGCACTCACACATTTGCTTGCAAAACTGAGACATCTTACAAGTAATGCGCAAAGTTCAACGTCTCCCAAAGATTGGTATTCCGTAAAATGCCCCTGACAAAAGCCCGCGGAACTGTTGGAAACTATCATTAGCAGCAGTCACTGAGGACTGGTATCCAAGTGGGTGCCCGGTCACTTGCTCCCACAATGAGATGTACTGCTCGCAGGCAGGCCTCCGGTTTCCAGAACTTGGGGTTCGCTCGCTCGCTCGCTCGCTCGCTCCCTCGCTCGCTCGCTCTCTCTCTCTCTCTCTATCTCTCTCTCTCTCTCTCTCTGTCTCTCTCTCTCTCTCTTTCTCTCTGTGTTCAAGCTCAGGGAGTATGAAGTCGCACATATCTAAGAAGACACCAATAAAGAAGCGGTTAAACGTTTAGAGGGTATGGTGCTTAGGTGGGGCTTTCTGTTCATGGGAGCCATGCAACGCTTTGGGTGTGAAGGTTCAGGTTTGTGATCGATTTTTCCCGCTGCCAGATTGGGGTCCTCGTGGTGGTTGCATGAAGCCTCCTTGGTCAAGAGCTTGTAGTGAGTCATCTCCAACTTTCGGGGGTCAAGGTCGAATGCTTTTGCTGGCATCTGTGCGCAGTGATTACAGTGTCATCCCGAATACATAACTCTTTGAATGCAGACCTCCAGTAGTCCTGGGACTTGAGGCTGAAAAGGTGCCTTCTTGAGTTAGATTGCCAGCTATTGCTTCACCAGCGAATGCGCATAAGTTCTAGACGCCATGAGCATTGTCAAACAATTCTCATGCTTACTACAGTTACAGAGTATTTCATGGGAGCTTATGGCCTGCGTTGCAAAGCGTCGTGTAAGCTCCACAGAAGCCCACAATACTTTCATGATAGTTGTACATGTACTGTTACGGGGCCCACGGTCATTCTAAGCTGCCAAAAGCCCCTATACCCTTTATACCCTGGACCCGAAGCCCTACTGCTTCATCTTTGAACTCCCATCTTGAGCACCCTAATTGGTAGTTTCTCGAAATTATAGACCCCCAACTACTATAGTCCTTATTATTGGGACCTCCAAAACGGTACCCAAATTTTGTGAACTTAACCCTTCATCCCTAAGCCTCTTGCTTAGGTACTCCTCCTTTTGGACATCCCAAGCCCTTAGCTAAGGGTTTAGGGTTTAGGGTTTAGGGTGCCCTATGCCAAAGCTCGAAGAAATTAAGAAAGGTGTCCTTCGACTCTACGGGACTTATGCGCTCTTGGCGGCAGTCGTTGCGTTTGTCTTGGGGAGGGATGTTTAAGGCGCTGGTCGTAGCTTCAAGAGGTCATTATGGCTCACTTTTTTGCAAGAAGGCTTTCGCCTTGATTATTTGGGACTCATCCCCTGAAATGTGAGGGCGGAGGTGTGTTGCTGAAGTTGGTCCTGCATCTGATGTGCTGCAGCTGTGACATTTGCTGCTCCAAGTTGCAAAATTCCAAGGCTCTGGACAGACTTCTGTGCCGATGGAGACTCGTACCTCTGCGGATTTAGTACGCGTTAACTGGGGATTGTGCA